ACAAGTACTCCTTTTCTTTTTGCGAATACAGACTAACACGGCTGCTACTCTGAAACCAGGATAGTTTAGGTTATTTGGCAGAGCTATATGGGATTCCAGGCAGCAGTAACAAGGAGTGCTGCATGTCAGGTTTTAAGGAGCATTGTCAGAGCAGTATGTGAGAAGCTTATGCAGTGCCTGCTTGCTTTATATTCATGTCTAACTATTACTTTTCATTTTAAGGATCAAATCCTCAGCTGGTGTGAATCAGTGGCGCTTCATTGACGGGAGCGGAGACACAGTGATTTACACCAGCTGGGAAGCCGGCTCAGACTTTTTTATGAGAACAAAAAGTGCAACAAAATGAAATTACCACTTTTTTGTTTTTAGTTTAAAATGTGGCTTTGTCTATTTGTTTCCAAAGTAGCCATGTATGCTCAAAACAAAAATCTGAATGCCAATATAGCTTTATATCTTTGTAATCAAAAGATTATCTATATTTTTTTATTTCCCCCCTTTTTTTTAAAGGAAACAAAAAAGCGCAGTTGCCATGTAAAAGGTCAAGGCTGATACCTACCTGTAAGCTCTTGTTGATACTGTTGTTGTAGAATCTATGTGATGTCATGACCTTGTTTACCAGCTTTGGCTATTTAAGATGGCAGCCCCTTTCAGCTCTGCAGAATTGCTAAGGCTGGAATGTCTGGAATCCCTCTAATGCAGTAGGCCTCCCGTTCTAAATTTACTCTCCTTATGGTTATATGGTACCTCCTCTGTGGCTGCAGCCGGGAGGCCCCCTTTTTATGACTCTTTTTTTCCCCTTTGGCTGGTAACCCTTTGTGTGCATTGCCTGTTTAAAAAACATTCAGCTTTGGTTAGCACAGTGTACTCTTTTGTTGTCGCTGCTGCTGCATAGGATCAAATTCTGTCATGAAATCCTGTAATTTAAATTTGTTTTATAAAGCTGTCCTTGGAACTTAAAGATCTCAGTCTCCTGAGCTGCCGAAAGGGGCCTCAAGCCCAAGGCATCCACAGGAAAACATTGCTTTAAAAGGAAAGCAGCAAAGTTAGACTCTTCTGAAACTGGCGATTAGATTTTTAAAATCTTGATTGATTCCTCTTACTTTAGCCAGCAGTAATTATTTGCTGTGAATAAAATGCATAATAATAATTATTATTAATAATAATAATACTTAGGACTATGCAGCTCTTTTACAGTTGTGCATTTGAAAGTACTTTATAAAGTAAGGTAAGTGTGATTTCCCCCAACATTACACCCCTGGGAAGATTGAGGCTCACAGAGGTTAAAGTGAAAACCCAGACTAACCCGATGGCTTCTCCTCTACCTGCATTTGGCAACTAGACTTCCAAACTTTTAAGATGGGATTTTCAGAAGTGCCTAAGTGAATTAGGGGCACAAGTCCCGTTGACTTTCAGAGGAACATGTACTGATTCCCGCTGGTGCTTTTGAAAATTGCAACCTAAAGCGAAGAGGGAGTTGAACAGACTAACTGAACAAATTATTTATTTGAGGGGGAAAAAAGGGACTCATCTAGAGGGCTGTAATGATAAGATGTTGACCAGCATTAGTACTTAATGCTTCCATTTTTGGCTTGTGTCATTATTTGATTACGTAACTCTCCAGATGATCACTTTTAACTTACAATACAGACCTACTAGGTACTGGAAAAGGTAGTGTAACTTAAAGATACTAGGTGTTTTCTCTGTGAGGAAGAAGGCAAAATCATGTTTGTTTATTAAGTAGCAGGATATAGCATTGTGAGTGTTGTGTTTATCAGCTGCATATTTTGGAAGGCCCAATATCTTGCTTTATGTGTCGTCAGCACACATCCGGTAAAATTAAATCCTTATGTACAGATTTTTTTAAAAAGTAATTGAAAACAATCATACAGGACATTCCTGTATTTAAAAATAACTTACCAGAGCATTTAATAATAATCCTTCATTTTGTTTTTAACATACTACATGTCCTGTTTTCCTTATATGGATTGTTATTGCAAAGTACATATGTGGGAGCCCACTACAGCAAGCCTTCTTTCTGCAAATTGCTGGTTAGGATTTTTATAATGTGAATTGACTTCACAATGTTGGAGAGCATCTTCCTTTGTTTCTTAGATACAAACGTGACAAAATACATTTACACATCAGCCTTTAGAGATTTACTGTTCAGCATTCTGACTAAATAGCACTGCTATCAAACTTCAGGATGTAAGCTGATCGCTTGCAAAGGCCAGGAGTGAGTTTTTAACCACTCCACCCTTGTATAGCAATGAACATCAATGAATTATGGGTTTTTGTTCCTTACATTATTTTTAAGAAATTGGGTATTGACCACTGCCAGAGTCAGGATACTGGACTTGATGAACTAATAGTTTGATCTGAGACATCAGATCCTATGTTCTTATTTTTATAGGGAAAACATTATTTTTCTGTCTATCATACTTATATAGTCCCCATTAGGGTAGTATTTGATTGCCTAACACAGGACTGGCTCTAGGCACCAGCAAAGCAAGCACATGATTGGGGCGGCACAATTCCAGGGGTGGCGTTCCTGCCTTTTATATTTTGCTTGGGCGGCATTCCAGCCACCCCCCCCTTTTTTTTTTTTTTTGCTTGGGCAGTTGCGCTCTCGGAGTTTGGGGCGGCAAAAAACCTAGAGGTGGCCCTGGCCTAACAATTGGTAATATATTTATCCTCATGTTTGAAGAGGAGGACCTGAAGCCACACAATGCACAGTCAACCTGTGGAACTTCTTGCCAGGGAATGATGTGAAGGCCAGGACTATAACAGGGTTCAAAAAAGAACTAGATAAATTCATGGAGGATAGGTCCATCAATGGCTGTTAGCCAAGATGGGCAGGGATGGTGTCCCTTGCCTCTGTTTGCCAGAAGCTGGGAGTGGGCAGCAGGGGATAGATCACGTTGCCTGTTCTGTTCATTTCCTTTGTGGCACCTGGCATTAGCCACTGTTGGAAGACAGGATACTGGGCAAGATGGATGTTTGGTTTGACCTAGTATAGTCGTTCTTATGCTTGTCTACTCCAGGATTTTTTGCGGACTGTGTTTTTGCACGTACGCTTTTGTGGATTAATTTATCCAAAATAATTAAAGCCAGGTGGGTGGACACAATCTGCTTCCCTCTGAATCAGTGCATCTACACAGGGTTGTTTTTTTTTTTTTTTTTTTAAAGAACTCTTCTAAAGCTCCTTTTCTTTGTTGCGGCATTGAAACTTATCTTGGGAGTGATCCCTCCCATCATTTGCTTTGCTATATGTTGTGTAGCTTGGCACTCTGGCGGCTGCTCTTCAGGAGGTACTGGACCAGCATATCTCTCCAGATCTCAAGGGAATCCACGAGTCCATGCGGATGCATGAGGCACGGCTGCTGTAATGCTGAGAAGGGTACAAGACGCCAGACATGTACAATTGCAAATGGGTCACTTCTAGCTACACGTAGTATTTAAACAGGAAGATGACATCTGATCAACATGACTCCAGAGTAGTAGCAGGCACACAAAGACACAAGTAGATCCAGGTGTGAAGCAATGTAGTGTGGGATAGCAGTGGGAGGACTGCCAGTGGCAGAAGTTACGCTGAAAGACTGATGTATCCACACACACCTTTTTCTGCACTAACTCATCCTGAAGTGAACTAACCTACTTTCAAAGTGGGTGAGCCAATTTACAACAAATGACCAGTTAGTTTGACATATGAATTGGTTGCGAGGAATTTTACTAAAAAAACACAGGTGAATGTTTGCTCCAGGGTGGTAGACAAGACCTCAGTGCCTTGTCCAAGGTCACTCAGGAAGTCTTTGCCAGAGCAGGGAGTTGAACCCAGGTTGCCCAAATCTCAGGCCAGTGTTCTAACTACTAGACCATCCTTCCACATATTCCTTAGTGTATGCTTTCTTACTAACTATGTAATTGTTATTTCACTTTATCCTCCTAAATGGGAACTGCCATATGGGAGCATATCATTGTCAAAAAGAAGGGGGATTCAAGGCTAAGACGCACTTCCCCTAAACGTAGCTTTGTGGTGGAACTGTTTTTTATATTCATTTTGGGTTTGCAGCAGTTGCAGATGGAGTTAGTCAATGGTGAGCCCCTTAACCTGGGAATATTGCCCTCTCGTGGTGGGAGACTTCATAAAACTACTGATCCATCTCACAGGATATTCAGTCTCCAAGAATTGCCCAATGGATCTAGTTAATTATACTATATTATAAAGGGGAGCAATTGTTTCCTGATCCCTTGCAGGCAGTGGGTTAACACCTTGATGTGTGGAATTTTATATCCTTGTAATAACTGGCATCTAAGATGGTGTGAAAATTAATATTCTTATTCATATATATCGATTGTATACTACTAACCTATATTTTTAAGTAATATCTTGCAGCAGTGAGGCCCATGAGTTAAAATATATTGCATAAAAAGATAGTAATTATTATGGGAATGCCTCTGAGAGTAAATATTTTACTTTTTCTCTGGATTATATTCATCATTATGAATATGACCAATAGAAATGACTCTACAGAAAGAGTGGTGCTGTAATTGTACACAGCAGACCACAGACTGACTTGTAAAAGGCCTTCCAAAAATGGCAAAAGCACCAAGGAGGTATTTCCCCCTGTTTTATTTTTAGATAAGCATTAACAATCAGGGGCTGCATTTTTAAGAAAATCACTTTGATCTGTGCTCTCCCACTCTAAGCTGAGCAGGAGGCTGAATTATCTGCAGACATTTAACAAAGTCCCTGTTGAGCTGAAAGGCAGCAAATGTGGGCTGATACTGCCATGGTTCTGTACTGCAAAAATGAGCTTAAATAACATCAGAAGATAGATGCAATTTTATTCTCTTATCATTTTAGGCCGTGATTCTACAAAAGGCTGTTGGGGTGCATAAGGGTCCATCCACGCAGATCCTTTTGCAGGTTCAGGGTTTTACAATGTATGTAGCTACTTTCATTACAAAAGAAATGACCTTGTGTATTATTTTATCCATAGGACACCTTTATCCAGTAGATATTTTAGCAAGTAATCCTGAGGTTATCCAAGAAGCAGCTGAGGCCTACTATGAAAAACTTTTGCAGCAAGCTTCATCATCTCCTGAGTTTTTTTCCATTCCTGGTGAAGAGAAGGTAATATAATTACATTCCCAAGTAGAAAGTGTATTTAGATATTGATGAAAGGCAATTTCAAGTGCAGTGGCCAGAATCTGTTTGAATATATCTAGGTTAGTGTGGCAAGGATAAAAATCACTTAAAGTTTCAGATTCAATCAATCAGACTGTAAATATTTTACCCTCATAGACTAGAGATAAACTCAAATCAAAAGACTAGATCTGAAAACCACCAAAATTTGAAGTCCAAATCTGAATTTTGTGTCTGGACCTTACCTCCATATTGGGATTGAATTTGGAGGATGTCTAGGACTGGATCCAAAATCTTCAGCTCTTGGCCCATCTGGTGCTGTTCAGGCTAGTTTAAATGATGCAGTGAATTTCCTTACTGTTGTAGAGATTTGTTCTTTTTATTAAAAAGAACAGAGGTACTTGTGGCACCTTAGAGACTAACAAATTTATTTGAGCATAAGCTTTCGTGAGCTACAGCTCACTTCATTGGATGCATGCAGTGTAAAATACAGTGGGGAGATTTTATATACACAGAGAACATGAAACAATGGGTGTTACCATACACACTGTAACAAGAGTGATCAGGTAAGGTGAGCTATTACCAGCAGGAGGGGTGCGGGAGGAGGGGCGGGGAACCTTTTGTAGTGATAATCAAGGTGGGGCATTTCCAGCAGTTGACAAGAATGTCTGAGGAACAGTGTGTGTGGGGGAGGGGAAGGGCGGAAATAAACATGGGGAAATAGTTTTATTTTGTGTAATGATCCATCCACTCCCAGTCTTTATTCAAGCCTAAGTTAATTGTATCCAATTTGCAAATTAATTCCAATTCAGCAGTCTCTCCTTGGAGTCTGTGTTTGAAGTTTTTTTGTTGAAGAATTGCCACTTTTAGGTCTGTAATCAAGTGACCAGAGAGATTGAAGTGTTCTCCGACTGGTTTTTGAATGTTATAATTCTTGACGTCTGATTTGTGTCCATTTATTCTTTTACTTAGAGACTGTCCAGTTTGACCAATGTACATGGCAGAGGGGCATTGCTGGCACATGATGGCATATGTCACATTGGTAGATGTGCAGGTGAATGAGCCTCTGATAGTGTGGCTGATGTGATTAGGCCCTATGATGGTGTCCCCTGAATAGATATGAGGACACAGTTGGCAAGGGGCTTTGTTGCAAAGATAGGTTCCTGGGTTAGTGGTTTTGTTGTGTGGTGTGTGGTTGCAGGTGAGTATTTGCTTCAGATTGGGGGGCTGTCTGTAAGCAAGGACTGGCCTGTCTCCAAGATCTGTGAGAGTGATGGGTCGTCCTTCAGGATAGGTTGTAGATCTTTGATGATGCGTTGGAGAGGGTTTAGTTGGGGGCTGAAGGTGATGGTTAGTGGCGTTTTGTTATTTTCTTTGTAGTAGGTAACTTCTGGGTACTCTTCTGGCTCTGTCAATCTGTTTCTTCTCTTCAGCAGGTGGGTATTGTAGTTGTAAGAATGCTTGATAGAGATCTTGTAGGTGTTTGTCTGTGTCTGAAGGGTTGGAGCAAATGCGGTTGTATTGTAGAGCTTGGCTGTAGACAATGGATCGTGTGGTGTGGTCTGGATGAAAGCTGGAGGTATGTAGGTAAGCATAGCGCTCAGTAGGTTTCTGGTATAGTGTGGTGTTTATGTGACCATCGCTTATTAGCACCATAGTGTGCACGAAGTGGATCTCTTGTGTGGACTGGTCCAGGCTGATGTTGATGGTGGGATGGAAATTGTTGAAATCATGGTGGAATTCCTCAAGGGCTTTTTTTCAATGGGTCCAGATGATGAAGATTTCATCAATGTAGCACAAGTAGAGTATGGGCATTAGGGGACGAGAGCTGAGGAAGCGTTGTTCTAAGTCAGCCATAAAAATGTTGACATACTGTGGGGCCATGCGGGTACCCATAGCAGTGCCGCTGACTCTTTCTATTGTGAGTCAGCAATAAACACAATGAAATTTTCTAATATGTGCTCTTTCACACCAGCTCTGATCTGAAATGGTTGACAGACTGAATAAAAAACTCTTCAGTGATAGAGCTGCAGGGACCAATCCTGCATTGGCCGAGAGATGGGCAGGATATGACTAGATAGGTCTTTTTCATTTCTAACTTCAGTCATTGTATGAAACCTTTCAGTACGTGGGCCCTTTTCTATGCAATGAAAGTTTCTGTTGGACCAGCTGTGTTTATATCATTACACAGTGCTGAAGCAATGCCACTCAGTTGAAATAACAGTTTGTGTGGAATATGGTGGCTTCTAAACAGTTTTGGAAAATATTTTATAGTCATTTCTAGAAAAAGTCAGTTCATGTGGGTGGAGTAACTTTCATATTGTCTGAGAAGTAGGGGTGACACGTCTTATAGTATTCTTTTAATGCCCTCTAGTGGACCAAGATCATAACCGTCTGTAAGGTTAAATACAAAAGGGCTGTTACACTGTCCTTAGCTCAACCTGTCATGCAGGGATGCCATGTTACCAGCCCATCTGGTGTTCAGTTCGGGGGCGGGGGGCTTAGAACACTAAGCAATGCTGCATCTCCACAATAGCTAGAGCTAAAGAATGGAGTTTTGGCTTCAAGTCTGAAGTATCTTGATTTTATGGCTTGTAGTGAGACCTTAAATATAACTTCAGACTTAATTTTGTATTTAATTTTGTTCTTGTCTAATCTGCACGTGCAGAACCATACAATTACCAAAGGGCATAAGTAACAAGAATTTTCTAGCTGTTTCCTATAAACTGTAATAAATGCTTCAATCAATGCTGATATTTTATAAATCAAAAATAAATCAAAAGATAAGAATTTATCTCCCTCCAAGAAGACCGCAGATATCCGAGCTAACAACCTCTATTACCCCTACCCTGGGAAAACGTACACCTAAGAATTTAGGGATGAAGATTGCTGTGATGGACTAGTCCCTATTTAGTCTGACTAGTCCCTGAGCCTTTTGCTTCTGTAGATCTAGGTTAAAACCTGTCTCAGGTGATGGGGCCAATGGGCCATCTAGTTCTTTAATGCATATTAGATTGTTGTCATCCCATTTACTCAGACCACTGTACAGCGTGTCATGGTTGGCAGTCTTTGCTCAAGAGGATTATTGCAGGTCAGGGTGGAAGTGCATTGGCAGAGTTCTGTGCAGGGAAAGCTGGTCCAGCTATGCCAGATTCGTGCTTGTGCTGCTTGTCTCTCACTTTCATGAGTGCTAAATTAACTCACAAATCAAAACAGTAGGATTTGTCATAAAAACAGCACCTGACTTTTACTTGAGGAGGTTCTCACAGGTGCCACTGTGATGTCAGTGATGATGTATTTGCAGCATGCAAAGAAAGAGATCTAATCAAGAGAAGATACTAAGATTTCTCAGGAAGGTCATATGCTGTATGCAGCGTTACATTTCCTCAGTAGCTCAGTGGAGGAACAAATATACTTGACCCTAGTGTTCTGACATTTATGAAATGGTGAATGCTGTTTCCAGGTGCAAGTTGTTACTTTGAATAGTCCACCTTGCTTACATTTAGTGCTTCTGTATGTGCTTCTGATAATTGAAATGCTTTTTTGCCAGCTCTACAGCTTAAAACAGCTAAATGCCTATTTTTAGGTTAAACTTGAAGATTCCTGTATGTGTTTCCTTCCTGTGTACCGAGAAGACCCAAAATATAAAATTTTGGTGTTAACAGATCCACAGGATAAAGAAAGAGGTGAGATTCGTGTCAATATATTTTGAAAATGGAATTATTATACTTTTTGTCTGTCTTAAACAATGCCCGGTGGATGTAAGCAGATTTCTAGAACAACAGTACTTTAACTCCATGCCATGTTTTGAACATGAAGTAGATTTAGCTAATATGTAAAGCAAATGTTTTAAAAGGCCATCTGTGCAGGCAGTCTAGTAGCTAGAGCGGGAGATTGGCAGTCAGGTCTCTGGGTTCTGTTCCCAGTTCAGCTGCTGATTAGAAGACTAGCCTTGGGTAAATCTCTCTTCCTCTCTCTCTGCATTGGTACAGTGGGGATAATCATACATTTCTATCTCACAGGGATGTTGTGAAACTTAATTAATTAATGTTTGGCTTGAGCTTTGATATCCTTGAAAGATAGGACATATAGAAGTGCAAAAAAATCTGATATGTTATGATAGATTGTAGCTTACTAACATTCCTGTATTTTGTATTTTTCCTTTGTGGTAGCCACCTCCTCAGTCCTAGGTTTAATTGGCCTGTTTTTCTGGACCGCCTTGTGAGAGGTAAATCCAGATGTGCAGTCAGGAACTGAATTAAACTCATTTTATTGGCAGATCTCCAGCAGTCTGCTTTATGCTCTGTGCCAGTCTATGCACTACTTACTACTAGTAATGCTGGAGTTTTTCTTATTACAGCCATATGGTGACCTTAAATGGACATCCTTGCAGTTACTATTCGTAGAAATGTGTGCTTACTGGCATTTCTGTTCCACAGGTCGTTGGCTGGGTTATCACCAGGTCCTAGAGATTTGGGTTATGATTGCATCTTAGTTTTTTTGTCCACCCATCAAGGATCACTGCTCTACACAGTGTGTGTGTCCCTGGTTTCTTTCTGTTTAACTCCATCAGTCAATAGACTGTGTGGCCAGAACCCTGTCTGGGATTTACAACACTGAAAATAAATTGCAAGCTATGATGCCATAGTCTTCAGCAGGGATTGAATCCAAGTCATTTAGCACCAAAAGCACAGGCTTCTACTGCTTGAACTAAAAGAGCTCTTTGAGCTGCTGGAAAACTGGAGGTTATATAGTCTTGGGAGAAGCTACTAGAAAGAAACTCCAGGCCAATGTATTAAATACTGCCCCCAGTGGATAAGCTTCTCCCAACTGTCTAAGATCCACAAGAGTTCAAGTCCTATCTGGGGAGGCAAACTTTTATTTAACCCTTCTTTAATATATATAAGGGTATAAGGGTCTAATATGTATCAGGAAGTCAGAAAATGTTAAATTAAGGTGTCTTTTGCTCACTCCAAACTTTGTTTGGAACTCACACCACTCTACGATCTGTGCTTTGGACTCTATCTCTTAGTCCCTCTTCTCCCACAATACAGCAATAGCTAAAAACACCACTGCAATTCAAAGTGCCTTTTATTTCTGAAGGTATAAGCTATACATTTTCAATAGAAGAGATTTGCAGCCAATATTATTGTTATAAGAAATATTACAAAGAAAGACAAGCTGGAGTTCTGGGTCCAGTCGTAATGTGTCAGATAACTGTCCTATGCGATGTTAAAACGTGAACTTTATACTGTGCTCTGTTATCAGACACTGGTTCAGTTGGCTGACTCAGACCCCATCGCAGCTAAACAACTGGAACCTGGAAGTCTTTTCACATGAACAAAAAATAGATTAAACTCACCTGCGGCTGGTTTTACATTGTACTTCAGAACAGCCTCCCATTCCATGTGCTCTCCCATGCTGGACTGATAATTCACTAACTGGCTGTAATTCAGTCAGAAGAAGGAGAGAAACTTCCTGGCACACAGACACAGCCAAAGAACTTTATGGTTCCTTTAAAGCTACAGATCATTTCCTGACAGTGGTTTACACATCAGTATTAACATTTGCATTAATGGAATATCAGCACTGATACCATTTACGGGGGGGGGGAACCCTCTACCTACTGCAGGCCAAATTCTGAGTGTAATTGCAGTTGTGCATCTCTATCAACTTGACTTCAAATGGGAGTAACTGAGAACAGTGATGAGGCAGATTGATTTGTTCAGGAAGGGGGATGCATAGGTATAATAATGCATAACGATATCTAAAAAGGGATCATGAAGAATCATTGACTATATACAGGTGGAAGAAATAGAGTGCATACAGCATGAATATGTAGTAACATAGTCCAGTAGTAATAGAAACACTATGAATTAATGAGATCTGTGTACACAAAGAAACAAGGTCTATCACCATGTCAAACCTATGAGTTCTGGAGACTAAACTTCCTAATAGTTATTTACAATAAATGCTTAAACTTAGCAGAATAGGGACTTCTCTGCGTAGTAAGCAGAGAAGTAGGACTTTAAATCTCATGTGTCAGAGTTGATTCTATAAGTTTCTTGCAAACCTTGGGTCTGATCCTGTAGTTCCACTGGAATCAACAAGACTGCTCATTTAAGTAAGGGCTACATAATCTGGTTTTTAATAGTACCCTTTAAATATGAATTTAATAGGACTTTACTTGACGTTCCCTCTCTGTGGTTTACATACTGAAAACACATGGCAAACCTCGATATATTTTAAAAATGTTTCCTTTTTATACCAAACTTTATTTTTTTCTTTATAAAGGATGCACTATAATACATATCCATAAGCTCTGTGAAGTCACCCTGTAGATCCTTTCTTGTATACAGAAGCATTTTAACTGTTATTTTCCAAATGCTTTTCCAGGTAGCGGATTATTTTTGTCAGCTTTTGATTTCTCCCGGTATAAAACCTGCCATAACTCCACATGTTTAAAACCCCATGTTTTAACTGCCATAACCCCACATGTCCATTTTTTGTAAATTGGTGTTTTAATAAATGCAAAGTTTAGTGCTTATTTCATTATTGTGTTTTATATTCATATGATCATTTGAGTGGTTTGATTTGAATGAGCCATGACCGTTTTGTAACATTCAGCCTAAATAGTTAGCCTTTCAGTGTACTTCATAGTCAGCTTTGCTAAATGCCATACATTTGACATCACTCTGAAGTTTCCCTTAGTCTTGAATATTATTACAGTATGGTAATGAAATGTGACAGGGTGCAGGGATTTAGATTCCAATCTCTATGTCTAAACAAGATCTGAAGTGGATGGTATGCGGTGGAGAGAAATATTTGGGTTGCTGTTCCACAGAACGTCACTCTCGGTCTTTATTTGGGTTGGAGATGTTTGTTTGTTTATGATGGGCTGTGTGTTACCATGAACATTTTTCTGAGAATGTAAATTGTGTTGCAAGGGCTACTAGAGCATCGTATGGGTGATTTAATATCTTTACAACCCTAAATTAACAAACACACTATTGTGTATATTTCTAAATACTCAATGTGCTGTCCCTGCTGGAAATATTTTTCAGTGAGCATGATTTCTAGTAACTGTAGATGCCACAGAACATTTATCATAGGATAGTCACAACATATCACTGGGGAAAAAATTAATTGTAGTGGGAAAACATAATCTGGTTGCAGGGAATCTATTCCTGGCATTTATCTGGTCCCCATTACTAGTATCTCAGTGCCTCACTATCTTTAATATATTAACCATGAGAGCACCCCTGTGAGGTAGAGAAGTACTGTTAGACTTAGCTTACTGAGAATGGAGGCAGAGAGAAACTAAAAGACTTGCCACAGGTCACACAGGAAGTGTGCGGAACAGAACCCTGCTCTCCCAAATCCCAGCCGAGCACCCTAAGCCACTGAGTCACCTTTCTTGTTCAAAGTGGCAGTATGACAAAAATGAATGGCAGGTATCTTGAAGTCCTGTGCACACCATAAAACACCAAAATATTTCCAGGAATAAATAGAATAATAATGGCAAGAGCTGTGGAATGTCTAGCTCAGATATTGTAATAAACAGTGCAAAGATGCCTCTTTTAAAAAAACAGTAGTGTTGGCTTCAAATTAGATTGGAGTCCCTGCTTCCCTGGGGTCTCAGAAATGTATGTTTGAGTTCTGATTCAGGGGAGGAGTGGGGGAAAAGAAACCCCATGCTGGATGTAGCTTGAATTTTCTTGCTTTTCTCTGTATTTGGGTGCTGATTGGGCATCTGATTCAAAGAGATAAAATGGAAGACTTGTAGAAGAATGTACCAACATTTGGCCAGAGTACAGTAGGAGGTGAAAATTAAATGTAGGCCTGTGTGTGGGGAAAAATTCTTCTTCTCCTTGCTAATCAATAGAAGAGGTTGCACAATCATGGTCACTGCTTTTTTAGACCTTGTTCAGGTCAACGTTGTTAAGCAGAATCATGCCCAATATCTGCAACAGCAACAAAAGAAAAAAATGCCGGTGGATCTGATATTTCACATACTCTCCACTTTCCATGAACCATAGATCCGGTAGTGGAGTGTCTGATCATCCCTTTTGTCCTCTACTCATCAAATGTCAGTTTTGGGAAGAGCTATAAAACAGGGAAAGGATGAGATCAAGGAGAACTTGATCTTCTGAAACTTACCTGTATTCAAAATGGTTTCCACAAAATTGTTTGCAAGATGAGGTTGAGAGTGTGTGGAAACATCCATAGGTTAAACTGTGAACTGGATGTTTACTTTAAAAATGAAAAGGAGTACTAGTGGCACCTTAGAGACTAACCAATTTATTTGAGCATAAGCTTTCGTGAGCTACAGCTCACTTCATCGGATGCATGAATGAAGTGAGCTGTAGCTCACGAAAGCTTATGCTCAAATAAATTGGTTAGTCTCTAAGGTGCCACTAGTATGCCTTTTCTTTTTGCGAATACAGACTAACACAGCTGCTACTCTGAAACCTACTTTAAAAATGATAATTTTAGAAGAAAGTACATACATTCGCATAGAATTTGGGGAAGTGTTTTTCTTTAAGGAAGGCATCTGTGTATACAAACTAGCCCAAGTAATATGATGTGACAGTTGCTATGTCAACTGGTGTATTCCACCCCGCAGCCCCTTAAATTATTGAATAGCACAGTAAATGTTCCATAAAAGTCAAGTAGTTCCTCACAATGTGTTTATGCACCTCCCTATTTTCATCAAAGTTTTTTCACGCTTTTCTGATCATCACACTGTGTGTTTAGAGTGAGGGGTGAGGGTGGGGGTATAGGTTTCTTGCCAAATCCCTTTTGGGGTTAACCTCATGCAGCTGCCGATGAAGTCAATGTTTGGCCCATTATATCCCTTTGTCTGACTCTGCTTTCTTTGGTAGTTGCATGTTTCATGGATATGTAATGGAGCAGTGCTGCTTGCACTGGAAAGTGGGGTGAAGGGTTTGAGGGAACAGATTGAATCCATCATAGAAAGTGTATGAAACCTCTATGCCAGTAAGTGCAATTAATATTTAATTAATTGGAGCTGGTGTTATAAACAGGCATCTGCAGTTGCTCCTTTCTTGTTAAACTCAAGGCACAAAGTGTAACACGTTTTGGCATGTACCTTAATAATTTATTCAAAATATAGGTTAACTAAGCAATAACCCTGGACTGAAAGCCCACTGGGAGCTAGTAAAGCTTGAAGCAAAAAAGAGAAACTAACCTATGCACATTAGAAACATTTGTATAACCTGGGGCTAAAACAGGTAAATGATAACACTCACATTAAAGCCTTTTCACTGTAAATTTGTCCTTGATTGGGTGGATGGTTCTTCACTCCCTGGTGCTTGTCCCTGGTAGGATGATTTGGGACATGATTAAAGCTACGTTTTAGTCACAGGTATTTTCAGGTCACGGGCAGTAAACAAAAATTCACGGCCCATGACCTGTCCATGACTTGTAGTAAAAATACCTGTGACTAAAATTTGGGGGAGGGGGCTTCCCCAGGGCCCTGGAGATGCTGTGGGAGGGCGGGTCTGGGGGGGTGGAAACCAGTGCAGCTTAGGGCCCAGGACCCCCGCTGGTGCTGGCAGGGCGGGGTTGGCAGGGCCTGCAGATTCCCTACCTGACTCCGTGCGTGCCTCCTCTCCCCCAGCAGCAACAGCAGCAGACAACTCAGTTTGGATGTGGGGAGGGGGCGGGGAGTTGGGGCAAGGGACGGGGTGAGGCAGGCTCTGGGCAGCACTTACCTGGGGGGCTTCCCGGAACTGGCGACATCTCCCCTTGCTCAGTTCCATCCTAGGCAGAGGTGTGACCAGGCAGCTCTGCACGCTGCCTCTGCCTGCAGGCACCGCCTCTGCAGCTCCCTTTGGCCGCGGTTCCTGGATTATGGGAGCTGCGGGGGCTAGCAGCTGAGTGAGGGAGATGTTGCTGCTTCTGGGGGGTCCCCCAGGTAAGTACCGCCCAGAGCCTGCATCACCCCATCTGGTGCCCCAATCCTCTGCCCCCTCCCACACCCAAACTTTGCTGCTGAGGGTGGAAGGAGGGCACAGGAGCCCGAGATTGCCCCAGCAGTTGTCAGTGCAACTGGTGCACTGCCCTGAGCCAGGCGTGCCGGCCGCTGCAGAAGTCATGGAGGTCATGGAAAGTCACAGAATCCGTGATTTCCGTGACAAACTTGCAGCCTTACTGATGATCCAGTGGTTAGGGCGCGAGCCTAGATTTGAAACCTACATTCAGTTTCCTGCTGAAAAATCAGGCCACTTTTATGTAGGTATCTAACTTCAGGCAACCAGCTTTCCAAATGTTTATCTTCCTTTTACTCTCACCGGTGAATTTGCCGGACAGTGGTCTTTGCAGCAAGTATTTTGAGTTAATGTGTCCCCGTTTCTTCTTTTAGTTTTGGCAATTTACCTTAACCAGTCCTGGTGGCCCATTGAAGATATAGTGAAGACTGCTGATTCCTCTAGAGAAGGGCTTATACAGGTACAGACAAATGCCTTTGTTGTGAAGCATTCCAACTGTGATAACCGTACAGTGCTCTGTGTGTTTGGATTTGTCTTTCATCATATTATATATCTTTTGTGCTTTATATTGTATACTCTTTGTGGGCCTGGTCTCCCTACTGTCCAGTGCCACCCCAACTTCCTGAATAAATATTAATTTTCCATGTCCTATTCATGGGTCTTCTGTTGGTTATTCTCTCTCTCTCTCTCTCTCTCCATTTTTTTCAAGGTTACCCCCTTTAGCAGATAAAAAAGCAATCCGATAAACTGAATTATTGCATTAACAATAACCCTACACATTACTTGCTGCTTGATTGACCATCTGTTGTGAAGATCAGTCTTCTTACCCTATGGCACAGTGTCTTATCTAGCCATTTACAAAGCTTTCTGCCTTATGTTCTTTAGATTGTATTTATTTTATTGAGCTGTTCTCATTTAATGGTGGATTTTTTATTTTATTCCTTCTTCAACTAAACACCTTTGGTCTGATGCAACAATCCTGTTTTGGGAGAATAGATGGAGAGATGTTACCGACTTTTAGTTTAATCTATTCACAGCTGCTGAGAAGTCAGTTGCTTAGTGTATATAGAATTTGCATTGCCATGTGGCAAACAAGTTTGTCTTTCTTTATTCCCGTTTCCCACCCACCCCTCTGTCTCCCAGTTGGGTGCTTCCTTACTCCTTTCTTGTGCCATTCTTTCCCTGATTCTGTGACATTTTTAATCATGCAGGGTTTAATTCATCCCTCCCTATAGGCAGCCTGATTTAACAGCTTTTGCATAGGGAACTAAGGGGGGAGGTTTGGGGAGTAAACCCATCCCCCAACCTGCAGGTAGGCTTTTGGACAGTACTACTGGCTCTACACAGGTGTTTCTCAAGCTTCTTCTTTAGCAATGGAGGATGAAAAAAGTATTTTGGCTCCTCGATCCCTTTTAACATGTTTTGGGTAATTTTGTCTCAGGTATATGTTGTTTACTGTGACATGCAATATTGACACATTTCGGTCAATAGGGACAGGGCGGCATAGGTATTCTCCTTTTAGTACACTTTCGAGTGTGGATAGTCCAGGACACCCCAGTTCTATCTCCAGCTAAGCCACTGGTTCACTCAGACCATGGGCAAATCACTTCACCTCCCTGTGCCTCAGTTTTCTCATCTGTGAAAGTGTACTCTGCAGGGGCATTGGCAAGCTTTTTAAATGGAGGGTGATATCTCAGGGCAATTATTATTACTTCTTCTTAAACCATGTTTAGTCTTGAGAAAAGAAGACTGAAGGGGGGAACCTAATAACAGATACCTTAAGGGCTGTTGTGAAGAGGGTAGTGATCAGTTATTCTCCGTGGCCACTGAAGTGGGAACAAGAAGTAACGGACTTAATCTGAAGCAAGGGAGTGTTAGGTTAGCTATTAGGAAAATCTCTACTATAAGGGTAGTTAAGCTATGGAATGAGTTTCCAAGGGAGGTTGTGGAATCCCCATCATTGAAGGTTTTTAAGAACTGGTTGGACTGGTTTACTTGGTCCTGCCTCAGCGGGGGGCTGGACTTGATGACTTCTTGATGTCCCTTCAAGCCCTACCATTCTATGATTTGAACTGGTTTATGAGGCATTTTTGCCCCAAGTGAGTGGGACACATACACCACCCTCTTAAAAAATAAAACTTTCTTTGGAAGGCAAAATCCCTGAAGTCTCCTCATTTTTCTTTTCTCTGTTTATTTTTTCTCAAAGGTCCAAACATTTGGAGAAAGGATTGTCCTCTTTGTTCTCAACTACATTATTTTTGGAATGTTAGAAAGGAGTTCAGCTAATGATACATTCTTTGTATCTCATTCCGCCCAGGAGTCTGCCAAAATATTCTGGAGGAAAGGAGATGCTGTTGCCTTTTACACAGTCAAAATGAAAGGTAAGGTAATGTCAGAGAAACATTCCCATCAGTTCCATATTGCCAAAAATGTAGTTTCCCCCGCCCCTTAACATAAATAATCCTATGCTCCCATTTAAATTTTTAGATAGAAGTCACCTGCATACGATTGTAGAGAATGAATCGGAGAAACTAACCCTCATAGAATTTGGAAGCCATTCATATTACTTCCATTAAAACACAATGGCTCCAAATTCTATTCTAGGTTACACTGTGTGATCTGGACTGTTTGGAAAGCTGCACCTATTCAAATTCCAGCAGTGTCCAATTCATCCTCCTTCCAGGCTTTCCTGCTTTGGCAGACCACACCCAAACCCTGTCTGGTGAGAGCCTCCGGTTTCTAGCTTTGGCTGCCAAACCCCTTTGTATCAGGGTCATCTCTGCAGCAGCAGCCTTTCGTAGTTCCTGTAATCTCCCGAGCTTCCCCTTTCACTAAAGCCACCAACTGCCTTTTATGGGGAATTACTGGATCCAATCCAGGTGTGCCTATTTAATAATCAGGGTTGGCTAACCCCAGGCCCTCCAAGTCCTTAAGGGGCTTCGCCCTGCTACAGTGCTGAGATAGGCTGTTGCATGTCAGAGCCTCCCAGAGGAGATGGAGACCCGAAGTAGGGAGGTCAGAATATGGTAGCCAGTTCTGGTGTTCATATTCTAAAAAGGAAGTTGAAAACAGAATCAGAGAAATGTAAGGCTGGAAGGGACTTCAAGAAGTCATCAAGTCCAGCCCCATGCTCTGAGGCAGGACCAAGTAAACCTAGACTATGCCTGACAGGTGTTTGTCTAACCTGTTCTTAACCTGCAATGATGGGGATTCCACAACCTCCCTTGGAAGTCTATTTCAGAGTTTAACTACCCTGATAGAATATTTCCCCCAATATTTAACCTAAATCTCCCTTGCTCCCTTGTGGTGGATGAGGAAAAGAACCACAAAAATGATTCAAGGTCAGCAAAAAATGCCATACAGTGAGAAACTTAAAATCTCCATCTGTTTAGTTTAACAAAAAGAAGATCAAGATGGGACTTGATCACAGGGTAGAAGTACCTTCACAAGGAGAAAATACCTGGGTACTAATGGTTAAAGGGCTCTTTAATCTAGGAGAGAGAGAGATAACAAAAACCAGTGGCTGGAAGTTAAAGCTAAACAAATTAATATTAGGCACAGATTTTAAACCACTGGAACAAAGTACCAAGGGAAGTGGTGGATTCTATATCTCTGAATGTCTTCAGATCAAGACTAGGTGCCTCTCTGGAGGATAGTCTTTAGTCAAACACAAGTTATTAGGCTCAGTTACTGGGTGAAATTCAATTGTCTCTGGTAGACAGGATGTCAGACTAGATCAGACAGTCCTTTGTGGGCTGAAAAAAATCTGTGAATTGATAAGTCTGGTATAAGTCCAGAGCCACTGCATTGATCTCAAGATAGCTACACTGTGGATATTTGTACCAGGGTAAGCCACAACAGTGACTAAATAGGTGCCAGAAAAGAACAGTGTGGAGAATATCTCACTGGAATGACTCCACATTTACAGTAGAATGTGTCTCTGGGTCAGTTACTGGCCCCAAGTTAAAGTGCACCAACACTAAAATTCATAAAGACTATTTCAGGAGATTTTTGGGTTTTGGTGCTCAAATGAAGTTGCAAAATAGGTACAGAGAAATTGGTGACGGAACCTCTTTCTGGACGTGAATTGGATTGCTTCAAGGCAATCCAATTCAATCCCTCGGGGGGAGGGATAGCTCAGTGGTTTGAGCATTGGCCTGCTAAACCCAGGGTTGTGGGTTCAATCCTTGAGGGGGCCATTTGGGTCAAAAATTGGGGATTGGTCCTGCTTTGAGCAGGGGGTTGGACTAGATGACCTCCTGAGGTCCCTTCCAATCCTGATATTCTATGATTCTATGATTCTATGAAGGCCATCAATCAGCACGGTCCCAAAAGCAGGAGGTGGCGGAATCAGGCTTGCTGTGGATTCCAGACAATAGATTAAAGTTGCCGACCCCTGGTAGCCCTTCTAAGGGATGAAGCACTAGGAGAAGTTCTGCCCTCTGCAGTGGTGAACTCCTCCCCACACACTGAGGTGTAGTTGGCTCTTCTGTATGCTATCGGTGGTGAATCACATCTCAGGCAATGATTAAGGAATCCTGGATATGTCTATAAATACACTGTGTTGAGCTGTTTTATAATTTGCAAACACTTCATTTACAACTGTACGTTTCCCTTTTAAGTCCATAAATATTTTGGAGCAAAGCTTTTGGAGGGAGACAGTTGGTTTGTAATGATTCATGCTTCAGTAAAATAAGTTTTCACAGTAGTCTGCTGTGGGTGGAATATCAGACAACCTGAATCTGTTTCTGGGTAACTGGGAGTCACATTTTGGTTCACATTAAATACAAATGCTTAAAGTCCAGACTTGTCAGCATCTGGATCTTGTTGCCAGTATTTTCCTCTTTGGGCAGCAGCATTTGTTTGTTTTTGGTCCGTGTCATAATTACTACAGTCGTTTTCCAAGGTCTTTTGGGGAAGCTTGAAACTGTGATTGTTCACTTCCCTCTTTGCTTATCATGTAAAGCTCACTTGCTGTGTGCATTGTGAAATCTCTGAGGTTCTGTAATTGTGTCATACTAAACATGCTCCTATTGATCTGATACTCTGTCTCTTATGATAAACCACCTACAAAGGGATTCTGGATTTATTAGGCCCAAACAAGCCCAGCTAGTTCTTCACACTTCTTTGGAAGTGGTATTCCTCAAAACATTTGAATTCCTTTTTAATACTATTTACATGGTGCTAGTTTCTTCTGTTGCTGCCCTGAGTATTGTACGTTATATATCAAGTATTCTCTGTGTAGGAAATTCCATATTGCCAGATCTTCTTCCATAGCTCCTGGCCCCATGAAGAATTGGCAATTTGTTTCACGGCCCTGCCAGGTGATCCCAACTGCATTTCCTCTCTCTACAACAACTTGGCCCTTATCCACTGCTCTTTGCCCTCCACTAAGTAATTTAGACTCTCCTGCTCATTCTGTTCTCATCTCTCTGTGTGTCTCATCTGTGAACCTTACATTAGCTAGACTATGACAAGATTAGAAACCATGGTTCAGCGGAGCTAAATAAGGCAGAACTACATTTGTAGGGAATGGACAGTTAAAAGCACTTGTCTGGTGGCTGGATATATGGATGGGAGGAGTCTCTTCCTGTCTTTGCTGCAGACTTACAGCATATCTTTGACCAAGTCAGATTTTCACATGGAAGTCACTGACTCAAGTTTAGCTCAGGCTGGCGATATCTGAAAGTTGTTCCTATCCACCAACTCCTAGGTGGCCTGAGTTTGGTGATAGTCCTGTTCTTAATAGATATACATGCACATCATAGCTTGCACTTATTGGGATCTCTTTTGATAGTCTCAGGAGAAAGGGAAGGGGGACTGAATACCTATGTTGCTCCTAGAGACAGTTCCTTCAGGTCAGGTTTGAGACATATTGGCAAGGCAATGTGAGGAAATGTCTACTGATACTGACCATGCTGCACCTGTTGAATGGATAAACACAAGACTTCATTTTCGAAGACCTTGAACCTATCATCTTTTATGAGCCTTAGACTTATTATATTCACAACTGCACAGCTCACCAACCTAACCTCTACGGTATGTGCCTATTTCTGTTTAGTGGGAGGCACGTGGCATTTATCACTGGGTACTCTGGCGATTGACGGGACATGACATAAGGCACTAACATGTTGATGAGACACTTTGTTGCATGCCAGTGTAACCCACACACCTTCTTGGTGTGGTGTTGTGTCCCATCTAGTGGCACTGAGACCACTTAGAGAGAGTTAAATGAGTCTGCTGTACAGCCGTAGTTAACAGGGAGTTGCCTTTTAGCTCTTGCGGTAGAGGTTCATGCACTAAGCTCCAGAGGTCCACGGTTCAATCCTGCCTGCCGACGACCAGGGTCTGTCAGCGTTACACTAGGACAAACGCCTTCAATTTGATCTATGTCAGTGACTTCCAAACTCTGCTCTCCATACTGGCAGTTAAGGAGTTCAAACCCTACTTAAAAAAAAATAGAAAAGAACATTGTTTCCTGTCCTCTAAATTCTGAAACTGCCTTGCTTTAGTCTGCACACCCTATTTTGCAGATGGCAACCATAACAGTTAGAATATTTTGCAGGAGACGAAACAAAGATCTTCCCATGGAGCCACTTTGGTGCGGAGAACCAAAGCGGCTTGTTTCTTTGTCATTTTTCTTTCAGGATTTTCATGGTATGCTCTACATTTGTTAAAAACCTGTTTTTTTATGGATCAATGACTATAATACTTGATGCATATAATTCCATGAAATGTTTTCAGTTTGCTTAGATTTGGTAATATTTGAAGCTGGATCTTACTGCCTTCACTTGAGTGCAAAATAATTGGGAGAGTGTTAAAGATTCATGAGGAGGCAGTATGTCCTAGTGGACAGAACACTAGACCAGGAATCAGGAGACCTGGGTTCTGTTCCCGGCTGTGCCGCTGGCATGCTCTGTGACTTTGGGCAAGTCACGTCACTGCTCTGTGCCTCGGTTTCCCCATATGTAAAATGGGAATAATGTTACTGACTTCATTTGTAAAGTGTTTTCATGTCTACTAATGAAAGAGCTATATAATATTTTATTATTATATAATGCAAAGAACAGTTGATGCAGAAAGCCACAATATGCTATTAAACAAAAGTGTCTTAGTCTTTCGGTTAACTACAAGTAGAGAAGTTCCTTTAGCTTTTGTTGTTTAATATTTGTATTGTGGTAATCTCTCCGAGGGACAATATCAGAGTTGAAGGGCCTGAAACTGATCCCACAATACTCGAAGAAGCTGTAGATTTTGTGATGAAAAGTTCGTCAGTTCCCCAGAACGAACATTGCCAGAGTCTAATGCCTCTGGTGTGCTGCCAGCCCACAATAAGGCGAGGGTGTGCTCAGGTTCTTGGCTCACATAGGTGCATCATACT